CTACAAAGCCTCATCTTTCAACAGAGCACACAGACACGGGACAGACAGGCCCAAAGCCTGCAGGGTCTGGACCTGCTTCTGGCTGCATGCTACCGTGTCCCCCATGGACTCTGCAAAGTGGTGGAAGAGGGAAGGACAGGAAGCTTGTATTTCTAACCAGGATGGCTTCTGCCATTTTCTTTAGGCCTTTATCACTTTACAGCACAAATGACAAGTTAAGCATCACAGGTTAAAAATTCAATGGCTGGAAACCAAATAAGCACTTCTAAAGAAGATAGGTGGCCAGCCCTGACTGTGCAATGTCAGGTTGAGGTTATTTTGCTGGCTCCCTTTCCCAAATCCTGGCATCTGGTAGAGTGGGTACTTGAAGAACCACTGCTCAGTGTATGTCACAGTGAAGTAAACAAACAAAAAGGAAGAGACTGGAACCTCAGCCTTCAATACTCCAGTCCAGCACAGAGCCTATGGTTAGACAAGGCACAAGCTACAGGACAGTAGCTCATCCTACCTCCTGCTTCAGCTGGCGTGTTTGACAGCTATGTAGGAAACAGAGGGTTCCTTTTGTCTTTACTTCCATGACCCCAGCATATGTTTCCCCTAGGTCCTGCTTTGATAAACTCACTCCCTCTCTGCACTGCAAACACTGGCTGCCCTCAATATCCAGGAGCTGAAAGAAAGGCAACCCTTGTGTCCCCACTCAGTACAGCTTTCATCACCATGTGATCCTGCGGCAAGGAGAACTTCCAAGGAGTTGAGGTTTGATCCAGTCAGAATAAACAAACCAAATAAAAAGAATAAAGAGCACTAGTCAAATTTACTACCCGTACATGTCCTCAAAATATACCCAGTACCAGATTAGCAATATGCAGAGATCACAATGGCCAAACCATGGAAGATTCCAGAATAATCAAATACACACACACACACACACACACACACACACACACACACACACACACACACACACCCCACCTACCTGTAGGGGAAGACTGTCGTGAAAATTTACCTTTCCTGAGGTGGTTCCACAAGACATACAGGAATGCAACATGAAGACTCAAATCATGAAATCTGAGGTTTTAGAGGTCAGAGATAACACAGACAAGATTGGGCACACATGTGAAAACCTGAGCTTGCCCTCAGGATCTGCAGTCTCTGCACCTAACGGTATCTACAGCCCCATTGGCTTTAGAAGGGCTGGGAAGGGATAAGAGCACTTTCTAGATTCTCAATGCTGGTTAAATGACACAAAGGATAGGAGTTAAAGACCTCTTTCTATGCTTGTTGTCACCATAATGCAGTGAACGACACGTTATTGTCACCTCTGAAGAACTACTCCCTACTGTTCCCAGGATTTAAAACTCCTGTGAACAATAAGTAAATACAGCATGGCCAGATGCAGTGTATGGTCAGCTGGTTCATTGTTTTAAAAGCTCCAGTCTAAAGCCCAAAGATTGTTAACAGATGCAGTTTCTGGCTAGAGACTGGGAAAAACCTCATCTAAACAAAAGGATATGTTGTGATTGGAGCTAAAAAGGGAATTACCTCTAGAGATAAGAACCACAAACATTTCCTATTTGAAAATGCCCCCAACTCCACTCTTTGCCTCTCTTTGGACCTTTCATGGACATTTAAGAATTGGTGGGTTGCTGTGCACACCAACCAGGATGAGGGTGGCCAGTCCAGCAACTGTGAGAGCAGCGAGGCCACAGCATCCATCTCTGCCACTCCGACAGTCAATCAGGCAAGATTCCAATTCATTTCTTTCTAGCATTTTCACCCCAGGAATACTTCCACTGCTTGCCTTTTGGCTTTGGAAGTTAAGTTTTCAATCAGAGACTCGGATAGATGTTTGCTAAATCGCACAGTTGATAAGCAGAGGAGCCACGGCTGAGACTCCAGCTCTGCTGGAGGAGAGAAGGCAGCTGGCTGAGCAGTGCCTGGCCCCGGGCTCTGTTCTGGCCTTGCTTGAGTCCATGACTTCTGTTCACTTCTGCATCAAGAGCCAGCTTTTCATAACTCCCGTGGTCTGTTTCTGTCAGCTGCCACAGGCCCTGTGGCTTCACTGTGTGAAAGAAGGTCTGTGCTACCCAGGGTTCTCACCCTGAAAGAGCCGTATGTGTAGTTTGCCCTCAGTCTGAAAAATAGATGTGGTTTGGCTTGGTGGTGATAAGCCTCAAATGAAAAACCCATGTTTCACGGAAAATAGTATGTCTTAAGGTGAAAGATGGCCTCCATGGAGCCCTTTCTAAGAAGCATCACAAGAGATGAGGCAAACTGCATATGCCTTTGCTGCTTAGGTTTTGATGTCATATGTTTCTTGATTTATTACAGTATCCAAAATCCCCAGGTTTAGACCACAAGCATAATATAGTTTTAACAATGTGAGAAGTTCTAGTCAAGGAAACCTGTAGTAGTTCAGAGACTGGAGAGATGGCTCAGTAAAAGTGCTCGACTCACAAGCCCAAGGTCCAGAGTTTAGACCCTCAGTACTGTAAGAGCCAAATATGGCAGCTTGTACCCAGAATCTCAGTACTGGGGAGGCAGAGACATGGGAATCCCTGGCTTTACTGGGCTGCTAGCTCCAGGTTTAGAGACAGACCCTCTCTTGGAAAATGAGATGAAGAATGATTGAGAATGAACTAGATGTTAGGCTTCTCTCTCTCTCTGTCTCTCTCTCTGTCTCTCTCTCTCTCTCTCTCTCTCTCTCTCTCTCTCACACACACACACACACACACACACACACACACACACACACACACACACGCTGAGGCCTGAAAAGGGATCCTAAAAGCCTAGAAACTGAAAAAATGAACAGCAGCTATGAGCCTGAGGTTGTTACTACATTTTAGTAATTGCCTTCTCTAATGTAAGGGGCAGTAGTTTTCATGATTAACTTTTAATTGCTGTCAAGGATGTAATAAAATATGAGAAAGAAGAAACCTTTTCCCCAGTAAGCTGCTCCCATTTGCATTTCCTCTCTCATCCTCTGGGACATATCTTCAAACCCTAATCTGCAATGTTTCATAATTTAGAGGGGGAAAAAGCCTGCACTAGGAATAACCAAATAGACCATGCCCTTTGTATACAGCGAGATGGTTCAGTGGGTAAATGCACTTGCCCTTAAGCCTGACAATCGGGAGTTTGATCCCTGGTCCCACACGATGGAAGGAAGAATACCATCTCCCAAAAGACGTTCTCATACTGCCACATGTGTGCCATGGCATGCACCCAAACACAATAAACAAACTATTAATAACAAATAAGTAACTGAGGAAAAAAGATGGCCACATAAATTCATCAGAGCAGGCGTGAGCAGGTTTCATTTTAAAATGTCACTGAATGATATATGCTGCTCAGAGCTATGGAAGTCCTTTCAATGCAAGAGAGTTTTCTGGTTGGCAAGACGTGACCAACATGAAAGAGCAGAAGAGGGGTACACGGAGTGACAAGGACACTGAGCTACTGAAGGATGATGACTTTAGGATAATAATCTGGGTTGATCTGATAATGGCTCCAGGATGAACTGAGATGTTACAGCTGCTCAGATCTTTCAGCAAAGGCCACCAAGAGAAATCTGACACACCATTCACGTGTTTCACCTGCACAGGTGGAACACTAGACAGGCTTTAAATGCTGTGGTAATGTGTGTAGTACCACTGAAGGAAATTGTTATTAGTCTAGTACAAAGTGTGAGAAGACAGCTACAAAGGTCAGTGAGCCACAGTGCCTCACAGGCACCTACTGTCAACAAGCCATGTGCGCACAGGCTCACTGGTCACTGAGACATGGAGGATCATCCTTGGAGGGTGGCACTCCGGTGAGACAGGGCAGAGGTGCTGTGCGGCAGCCAGGCAAGTAAATGATGGAGGCTCCAAACTGCATGCATCTTGTCATCTGAAAGCTTCCCTGATACTGGGTTGCTGCCATTTGTTGCTGAGTCCCTCAGTCAAGAATGCATAATCAGAGTATCTGCTGCATGTTATAAAGAAGTAGCACTTTCTCATAGATACCTACTCTGGCCTAAACATTTAATTCACTTAGTTCAAATCTCAGATGGAAAGAGGGAAAACATAGGGGGTGGTCTTAGAATCTGGTGCAGGCTTTAGGAAAAGGGAGCATGAACTTTACTTCAGCCCTTTCTGCCCATTGATACCCAGTGCCATGAGTGATAGAGAGAAAAAATGTTTTGGTAGTTTCTTGGACCCCACGGTCATTTGCCCCATCGCCTGAGATGGCACAGTGCTGGGTTTTATTTGCAAGTGACTGCCCAGAATGAATGTACAGTTGTTTCCTAACAACGAGCCTCAAAGGGATGTGGAACTCCTGGAATGAGGGCCAGTGTGATGGGTTGGCGGGTAAAACACTTATCCAATGCCCTGACTTCAATCCCGGGAGCCCACCATAGGAGAGGAACGACTACTGAAAGTTGTCCTATGACCTTCACTCATGCACTGTGGCGCACACACGCGCTCGCGCACACATACACACACACAAATAATAATAAATCACTAAAATGTGTTCCTAAAAGTAGGAGTGGGGAGTATATTCCTTTTGCCCCATTTCTCATTCTTCACTCTGGAATGTGAAATGGCTGGAGCACGTTGAACTATGGGGGCAACAAAGCCACACTATAGAGGCAACAAAATGTAATGTTTTATTACATTATGTAAACACAAAGCCCTGATACCCTAATCTACTTGGATACAAACAAATACAAAGGAGCAGGGGAGATGCTTCTATCTCCTGCAATCCTTTGTTATTTTAGGTCTCAATTACACACAATTATGAGTTACAGTAACAGGTGCAGGAGCCCAGTGACCCACTCATAAAAATAACATCCAAGGAATAGCACTTTACTGTATGTAGCTGCAAGGCCACACTCGGCATGTTCAAACTGGTTTCCACCTCACAAAGAGCTTCCTGAGTCCTGCTGATGAAATTCGGGAGCAGAGGAAATCAGAAGTGATAACTGTAAACTGTGATCACACTGAGTGTCTTACCTTTTTCTTGCTACAATATATCTGCCACTTTTTCTCCGCTGGAAGTGCAAACATGGCTTCCCTGTGTTTGTCTGTGAGGTCAAGTTCATCCTGAGAAGAAAAGGAAATGATTAGTGTTACAGAGATTGATGTTGTTCCTATAGTGAGCATTGCCAGTATCAACAAGGAGAAAAACAACTCACCAGCACATACTTTAAAAAAAAAAAGAAAAGAAAAGAAAAGAAAAGGCAGGACTACTTCATGATGTGTTTTACAGCTACTATTGTAGTATCTCCTGGCACAGGGCCAGACAGCCACACAGCCAGGTGGACAAAGCATAGCAGGACAGGTGCCCAGGGTTTCAACAAAGTAGCTAGGTTAGACCTTTGCTGTTGCTGATGCTAAGTGTGATCCATTGAGTAGTAAGGGTAGTGAGCCACAGGAAATCAGGATTAATCAGAGTAAGGACGAGAGTTTGCTGCTGAGAACCTTCCAGACAACACAGCAGTTATCAAAAATGGACTCTTGGGCTGAGCACTGGATGACTTATGACTTAGACATGATAGGAATGAAAATGTACCAGACACTCAATACCAGCATTAACACTGACGACAGATAGAGTTCTTATAAATGCCAAGATTTTGTCTCTAAGTACTCCATAGCCATTATCCAAAAATGGATTTGTGGATGGCCTGCCGTAATTTAGAATATGAGTGTCCCCATAGGTCCCTGTAGTAGAGATCCGAACCCCAGGATGACACTTCTAGAAGCTAATGAAGCCATTTGAAGGTAGAGACTAGAAGGAAGATGACCATAGGTCAGTGGGGCATAGCCCATGGGGATTGAGGGACCCTGTCCATTTCCTCTCTGTCTCCTGGCCATAAAGTGAATGGTTTTGCTTTGCTGTTTGTTCCCTACATGATAATGTGGCCTTGGTTCAGGCTCACAACACTGATGCCAAGGATCTTGAAGTAGAGTCTCCCAAACTGTGGGGTAGCATAAACCTTTTCTTTTTATAGGTACATTATCTCTAGATGCTTTTGTTATATGACAAAAGCAGTGACACTGACTAAAGCAGTGACAGAAATCAAAGACTAGGTTTGGGTAATAGATTTGGTACATAAGGGACCACAGCCAGCTAAGGTGAAGTGCTGAGCTACGCACATCATGGTATGGAAGGTAATGCATGACCACGTCGTAGAAGGCCTCAAGCGCCAGCCTAAGCAGCTTACTCATTTTTACTACTATTTCATGTGCATGGGTGTTTGCTTGCATGCATGTCTATGCACCACATGCATATCTGTCCATGGAGGCCAGAAGAGAGGGTATCAGCTCCCCTGGAGCTGGAGTTATAGCCAGGTGTGAAGAGACACAAGGGGGCTGGGAATTGAACCCAGACCCTATGGAAGAGTAGCCAGTGTTTTTAACCACTGAGCTATCACTCTAGCCCTGGGAATTTTTCTGTCTATTTTTATTTTAGCAACATAAGCCAACAAAGTTTTTGTGTAAGTGTCTGATATTATCACAGTAACTTTCAACTAATATTTCCTAAGGATTTTATGTACAGGCAGGCATTTCCTATTTAGTTATCACAAAGAACCTAAAGAGGGCCACTCATTATTACATCTCCTTATGATAATAGTCTCCATTGTAAGAGAGCTGGGAAACTTAGGGTGAAGATTAGGCAAGGCACTTCCTCCAGCCTACACACCTGCTGAACAAAGTGGCTAGGTTTTAAGCCCAGAGCTGTGTGGCCCTGGCATTTAGACTCTTAGCTTCGGAGATCAGTGTTTAGAAAGATTAAGCCTAGCGTGGTGGAAAGCTTGGGAAGTCAACATTCAGACATTCATAACTAATGAATAGCAGCAAGGAGATAATAAATACAGAGTGCTTAGAGGAAACCTCTTGGCACTTAGTAACTCCATCTGTAGTTAATGTGATTATTGGTATTGAGTGCCTGGTTCATTTTCATTCCCACAGGGAAGGTTATCTAGTTGAGAACAGTAAATGGCTGTGTGTGGGTAAAAGATAAAAGCTATAAATTAAGGTTCAAAAAGGTTCTGATCTCTGAAGACAAGTTCCCCTCCTGAATGGCGTGTATGTGTATCTGCTCTCAGTCACACTTGGGGACACAGAGGCACAGGCCATTCATTGGCTTTCTCTCTTCCATCATATACTCCTACACTACTTGCTCATCAAGTCCCATTATCTTCCTTGCAATTATTTTCCCTTTGTTTCATTCACAATGGAACCACCCAGACTTACTTATGTCCTACTAACCACTCCCGAGGCTTCTGGCACAGCCCCTCACTCTTCCTCCTTGACATTCCAGTCACATATACTCAGCACACCTTCAATTATTTTTGCCTTCAATGTTGGGTGAGCATCAGAATCTGACCTCACTGACCACCAGTGTGCAGGCCATGGGGAAGGTGTGGTGTCTGCATTTCATTAAGTTTTCAGGGTATTGCTGAGGCGCTGGTCTTGAAACCAAACCTTGAAAATAAGCACTGCGCTGTTTTAAGCTCCCAATCCAGAACCTCCATTACTTCCATGATACCTGAAAAATTAATTACTCACTTCTCAGATGGCCTCTTGAAGTCTCCCAATTCTCCCACCAGGGTCCCTTCTAATTAACTCTTCGCTATATTCCATTAACACCTGTCCCTCCAGAGCCTAGCACAGGCCAGCTCCCCCCTTTCGGAATCCCATCAAGCCACTACTTCCTCTTCACACCAGGCAGACCATTCTTCTTGCAAGGACTGGTAATACCTAAATATGCAGTAATGCCTGGCATAGGATGGCAACCGCACAGCTGTTATTTCTCTCACTCAAACACAAATCAGTTGCTAGTTTATTTTAAGAATGCGGTAAACAGTTAAGTCACTAAACCATGTGGACACAATACACACGCACGCAATCATATCTCACCACAAGAAGCTAGCTGTTAACAATGTCAACAATGAACAACCAGAGAAGGAATGAAAAACTTGTGCAGAAAATTCCATTATGAGAGAGTATGTTTAAAACACTAAAATTCTGGCATGAAACTTATTATATGGGAAGTAATTCTCTTCCTTCCTTTTTAAATTTCCTGTAAGTCACACCTGCTCTGAAAAACAGGGGAAACAAGGGTAACATAAATCACTTCCCAACAGTCAGCTCAGTTAATCAAACTGCTCGACAGACAGTATCTAGCTGAGTTTGGGGAGTTGCTTTTGATTTGAGGGAGCAGCATTCCTTTGTTTTCTCTTTTTTTATTCATTGATTTTTTGCATTCCAATCAAAGTTCCCCCTTCCTCCTCCCTGTTTTCCTCAAACGCCCCGCCTCCCATCTGAGAGCAGCATTCTTAATGACACACATTTACTACACTACAACATAGTTTTTCCTGAGTATATATGGAAAGTATATGTGTGAATCCTAAAACTGAGAAATCCACAGTAGGAGTAGTACGCAGTTTTGCTGAGGTACAGATATCACCTATTTTAAACAGTGAGAACTCAGACAAGCTGGGGGCAGACAGCCTGATGCCAAAAAGGGGGGGAGGGGAGGAGCACGACAAATCCCCACATAAAATGTCAATCCACAATCAGAACATGGAAAAAGACAAATGTATTAAGAGAGACAACAATTGTTTAACACTTCCCATGTGTCTATCATAACATTGTATGTGGATTAATTTAACTCATACAACATCCCACAAAGTGAGTCTTATTGCTAACCTATTTTCTAGAAAACTGGGTCACAGGACGACTGAGCACCTTGCTGCAGGCACAGAGCTAGCTAACAGTGGAGGCAGGACTGAGTGCAGGCAGACTGCAGAGTCTGTGTTCTCTCGGGGTACTGTCTATCCCACAACAGGTGGATGGACTCATGTCGCAGAAATAGACATGAAGAGGCATCCATCAAGTGTCTGCTAGAAGCAAGACACAGGTTCTATTGGCAGCTGTCCCTGAACTGTAGGTCTGGCTTTTATCAGTAACGCATCTTGGGTAAGGATGTGGACTCTGACCTTCACTGCCTTCATCTGAAGATGCGACGACAGTGCCCTCCCTCTAGTCATCTCAGAAATTCATGGAAGCAAAGATATTTTGTGCTGAGTATCCAGTAACTGTCAGTGAGGACATACATCATCTGCTCATGAGGACAGAAGGGAAATCAGACACTGACTGAAGGGTGATCACATGCTAGGGTCGTTGTGGGAAAGTTGTTACAATGAAAGCTTCTCTGGTTAAATGACATGGCCAACAGGAACTAAATAGTAGAAAGCACTGGAGACAGGAAACAGCAGCTGTGAAAGCCACTCTCAACTTGGTCTCTATCCTCAGAGCCACCAAAGGTGGAGAGTGGTGGATTCTCAGTCAAGCAAGCAGACAAAGATCAAAGTGGATAATTTAAATTCTGGAGTGCTGAGACACAATGTACAGGATATAATGAGACCCTGGACTGTTCATTCCAAAGTCTCTCTCTATTTCATCCCATTTTAATTATGAGGCAAGAATGGATGATTCTAAGGGACTTTCAACACCTTAAGAGATCCATCAGCATCATCCTACCTAGTCTAGGACCAGAGCCAGGCAATATAAGGAATGCGAAGATGAATAAGACACCCTAGCTTCAAGGCATTTACAACCTCTCTACCAAGACAGACGGCAGGCCTCCCAGCTCTATTTCTTACCGTCTCTAAGCGGGCCAGGGACTTCCTGTCTCCCCTCACTGTCCGCTTCATCAGCAACACCTTTTGCACTTGGGATTACACTTCCCATGCTTCTGCAACTCTGCATATGGTGTGTTCTCTTTCAAGTGGGCTCCTCCCACTGCATCTAAATCATCCCGGTCACCCAAATTTTCCCAAAGCATTGGCTAACCACTTCAAATAGTTGGCCTGACTGTCCTGGAGGGCCAGTTCCTCAGCACCCTCAAGCTTTTCTCACATGACTATGTTGGGGTTATTGGCATGTCTCATTCCTATTATGGGCTGGCTCTCAAAGGACAGTAGTTCAGCTGGTCCTACTAACTTTGTATTAGTTGCCAGTACCTGAAACAATATGACACAGGAGGCAAGCCGGAGCAGGAGGGGGAGAAATTAAGGTGGGGGGGGGGGAGGAAG